CCTTAGACACAATGGGCCTAACGCGTTAGCAAACCCTTCCAGTTATCACTCAATTGGATCTCTTGAACCCATCTACCAAAATTTTTCAAAAATCTAAATAAAAAGATAAGTTTGTTTATCCCATCATCTAAAACATGCCATCAATGCACGTTTGACACTCGCTTGTAGCTCCATCGGATCATATTATGGCAGGAAGCAGCAAACATTACATATTATTTTCCATGACAATGGATGGCGGGATTGCTCAGCAAATGTCAAAGCAATGTCAAAGCAATGTCAAATAAACTTACTTTATCGTTCTTCTTTTCTATAACAGCATTGAGACCTTGTTCAATTGCAGCTGTTTTCCATAGACAATTTGATGCACAATTATTTGCATTGACAACTTGAAAGACAGAAGGGATAATAATATTGTACTTATAAACATAGTTTTGAATAAAAATATCAACAATCACGAAATAGATATAAACCTAGGCAAAGAATTGAGAATAAATGATATATTAAAAATAATATAAATTATAATAGCTTAAATCAAAAATTGTATTTTCTGGAGCCGTAAATGTTTAAAACATTCAGGGAATTGTTAAATTGATTGTCACTGAATGAGACCGATTATTGTCAAAATGAAAGAATCTAGCACGAGATGCTTCAAGGCCATCTACTTTCTACAAACATGGAGAGAGTTTCATTGAAGACCGAATTAATATCTAGATTATAACTGAGCAATTCTGCAGATACTGAAAATTTAGCTGAATAAATTCTGGGCTAATTAGGACTTTGAGACAGCACGAAAAAGCATACATATTTTAAACATACATAAAAACTTCTTTGTTTCAAAGGTAAAGCCCGGGCCAAACGATGGAGGTTTTGCTGCAAATGTAATGTTGAATCGTTTTGCCACCAATGTTGCACCGTCCAACATTTAGTGCACCAAGTTTTAAAGTTGAAAGAATTGCTGCACCATGCAACAAATGTTCCACCGTTTGGCCGTGTCGTACAACATTTGTTGCATCCACGCATGCCCAAAGTGCTAATTGCGTGCCAATTTTTGATTCGTGTATTCGACCACAGTCTGTTTTCAAATACCCATACAAATGTTGCACAAGATGCTCCATCGCTTGGTCAACCATCAAAATTCGGCGTGTAAATCCGTGCAACAAAATTTGCACCAAACGTCGCAACGTTTGGCCAAGGCTTAAGAAATTTCATGCAATTACAGATATGTTTTTGGGTTACCCACACTTTTGACAGGGCCAAAACGAGAAATGACAAAAAGCAAAATTTGAAAGCTGTTATTTGGATTCTGTTTCTTGTGTAATTTCGGGAAAGCTTTAGGTAATTATGTTGTTATTTCTCTAAGAACCTTTTTCGAACAAATGTAAGTTTCTTTCGTTCTTTCGGTAGTAGAAAAAAACGGACAAAAATAGAGGAGTCCTTGTCACTCTGATCATTACAACAATGGCAAAAAAGTGTATGGGTAACAGTTTCTGTTTGGCTTAATTGTCAAAACGTAAACAAATCATTTGACTTTACGGTAACTGTCCTCAATGACATGGGGCATTGATAAAAATGTTTTATTTACCATAGGTATGTTTTATAAATGAATCTTTTACTGAAATGACGGTGAAAATGACCGTGAAGATAAATTACTTCCTGGGTTATAATTCAAGAAAAGCCATTGGCAAATCTTCCCTTTTCTTGTCATCATACATCATTTCAATTATCACCATTATCCTAAATACAGTGCGCAGTTTGATAGGAATGTAACCATATATAACTACTAAAAACTTTTCACGCATGTATTTTTACCTTAAATTTAACAAGGAATGGGTTTTGATTCTTATGAAATTGATAATTTGTTCTTGGGGGTTTTGTTTGATGTAACATTTGTTTATAAAGAACTAGCCATCGGGAACGCCGCAATCTACAAGTTTCCTTCTTGGTACAGGGTATGTATTTTCAACGTGCAGGCATCTATCATCTACTTTACTGCCGATGAATGAAATACAGAACTGTCTACGGACAAATATAAACATAATTGCATTCATCTTAAGGGTTTTTGGGGAATGTGTCAACCATAAAAAATCTTATGACCCAAAAATGCTAGCTGTTGATTTTTTCACCTATCCACTTTACTAAGAAAAAAGAGACGTTTTTATAAATCCAAGAAATGGCTACATTGTTAGGGAATCTGAAAAAGACTGGCTGCAGACAAGGGGACTTGATAGTATCTTTTTGGGAGCCATAAACCCCCTTGCCAATTTGCTCCCAGTTTTGTCCTTGTGTACAATGTGCCTGGCTAATTGCAAACTTATCCCGTTTTTATTGTTACTTAAGCATAGCCATTTCCAAAGGAAATTGGCTGTGGGGGCAACCCTTTGTATATATAAATATAAAGAGGAGGATAATAGCCTATAGTTGAAAACAATGGAAAGTCACTGGGGCTGCAGGGACCATTGCCCCCCTGGTTAGTGTTAAAAAAGGCCTGAATTAAGGAGACAACTAAAGCTCAATAGCTGAAGTTTGGATGCAATTGAATATTGAACATACCTACTGAAGTTTTTAAATTCACATCAAAACCATCTTTACCTGAAGCAAAATGCAAAATTGTAAATGAAAAAAGTAAAAATATACTTATATTTGCCCAGCACTATTGCCAATAACTTTTCTATATCCCAAATCAAAAAGGACAACTCAATTTGAAAAATTGAGAGGGGTGTGATGGGGCAACTTAGTTTTAAGGATGATGGTGGGAGCTGTTGTCTCAATGACTACCTACAGCCCTGTGAACATTGTTATTGGTGAATAATTGGAGCAAGCCATAATGAAAGGTTTTTTTACATTACCTTCTACTTTGCATTGACAGTTTCTAGGATTTCTCCTATAGAACTGTTAATTGGTTATGTGAACAATTTTTTTGCGATACAGAATTTGAAAATGGCTTTGAAAAAAGCAAACATTTTACAACATACTAAAAGCTTTTCATCTGAAATTCCTCAGAGCATAAAACGTCAGAATCAGGGTCTGAAAAAACACGATGAAAATTATATACCCAGTTGTAGATCAAAATAGGCCAATCAGAAAATTGATTATGTCTAAAAAATTACACTAGAAGTACCTTGCTTTATTCCATTTTCTTTGAGATATCTCCCAAAATCAAGTTCCACTGGAAATATTTCATCATCTCCTTTGTTGTCTTTTTTATATAGGCTTACTTTTGCATCTTCAACAAGTCTGCCTTTTATTCTTTCAATGATTTCTTTCTGTGAATGCAGATCTTCCAGCTTTGATTGAAAAATTTCTTTGAATAGTTCACCATACACATCAATATGTGATTCTGTACATTGATTTAATAGTAAATGGCACCTTTGACTGCAAATAAAATTGTATAGAGCAGTAATAGAGATGTATTTCTTCAAATGAAAAAATAAATTTAAGCAGAGTTATGAACAATAAAAAATTTATTCAAATTTGGTGAGAAAAAGAGTCAGGTGAACAATAAATCTTATATTATGTCATAAACCCCAAGTACATTTGTCCGTTGTGAATGACACATGATAGCATTTACAACCCAAAAAAACTAAATGAAATGTGATATCTAAAACATCCATGATAATATATGTTGGCACAAGTGCACAATAAATTACGGGAAAAGCAAAATTGCCTGGACAGCAAAATCTTCTCACCACTTCTGAAAAAAGTTCTGGTCCTAATGATCTATTCATTTTTCAGATTCTTTTAAACGGATAATTATAGGAGGGAGGCTGTTAAAAAACTGATGTTTGCAATTTTGTAGACCATAGTTAATAGAGGAGAACTAGCATCGAAATAGCATCCAAATCGTCTCCAAATACAAATTTTTCACTGGCAACCGCCATGTTTTGATAAATTTTGTGCACAGTCATGGTCATGTGACACGCAAGTTCAACCTCCAATAAAGAACAATAAGGCAGGCCTTTGAAGTGCACCGAATTCATAACCAGAGTTCTCCTCTAGTAACTATGTGTAGACCTGACAAAAGCAACACAGTTTTTCATCAAACAGCAAAAAAAAATTACAAAAAGTTAGTTCATTGAAATCAATTTGAACAACAACACACAAGGAGACTGCTTTTATCTTAAGAAAATACAGACCCATTTTGCTCCAGAATCTTTTGGAGATGAGATGCTATTGCCAATGTCCGTGCTGTTTTAAAATGTTCCTCAGGTGTTAAACCATGATCAATGTTTGGATAGATAATACAACATTTATTTGATTCAGCACAATTTAACATTGAAGTAGACCTTAAAGTCTCTGTTATAAAAGCTTTTATTGCCATTTTCCTGTTGAGTATAACACTGACAGTGGTACAAGCATCATTCAAAATTAAAGAACTGATGAATCTGTCTTTTGGAAGACCTTTTGTTAGGAAGCCATTTTTCTTCAGTTCTGCTCCATTAATCTAGAAAATCACAGAGAGCAAAAATAATTAGAAATTTGGACTTGTGAAGTAGCATGAAACAAAGCAAAATGTGTTGGTAAATGAATAATTTGTTCATTGTACTTTGTACTTGACATAAACAAATGAAAATATGTAATATTTAATTATATCTGCAGTAATAATATAAAATAATTTGCTTGATTTTGAATAGTAATTCTTGAAATGAAAAGCCTACATACTTTAGCTTCACGGAGATCTACAAAGATGTCACAGTTGCTATTCTTTACTTTCCTATCGTTTGCGATTCTGAACATAAAATATTTCTTCCCATTTTCCACAGACGATAGGCCTACTCCTTCAATCTTTTCTTCATGTTGGTGACACTTGGGATCGTCAACACCCAATTCATTACGATAATTGCAAAATGAAAAGAATTCTTGCTGTATTTTAGCTAATGCTTCCATTTAAAGCTCTGATTCTGTAATCGTTGCAACATTTATGTTTTTTATGTTAAAATGAGCGTGGCTAGAAAATTTTGAAATAACCTCGCTTTTAGTTTGAAAACGAGGTTTAATTAACAGGGAGGGAAGATCACAATCGCAAGAAAAACAAGAAGGCTGCACTTGTTGCATATATTTTTCAAGGAAGCGTCGAGACATTTTGTTTAGATAACGCTTGATTGTATCAACGATGAATAACAAACTCATAATAAGACACGCAAAGCAAATCGTGAATGTCTGTTTGAATTCAGAGACGTTTCTTCGTGGAAGCCAAATGGCACACGTGGCATCCCGTGAAGACGATAACGGTCTGTCTCTTGTTGTTGGAAATGATGGATGCATCAAAGACTTTGGTGCAGACGATGAAATCGAAAAAAAATACAAAGGCTGCGTTTTTGATAAAGAAATAGATGCCAGTGGAAAAACTGTTATGCCAGGTTAGTGTTTTGCTAAAAAAGTCCGTTCAGTTAAGTTAAGTTCTGTCGATACATTTAAAATACAAAATATACGTACTGTGATTAGAATCAAAGCTGAAAACTATCGAATCAAGCACTAAAACTAAGTTATATAAAGTGAAATGACTTGTAGGAGAATATCTTGAGGAGCAGTTTTCTAGTAGCCAAACCATGGTGATACCACTACCAATCTAAGGAGATAGTACCCCCTGTATTGGGAATTCAAACTAATATCAAAGATATATGATATATTGGTTTTTAGAAGCTTTTAATTATTGTGTTTCGGTCTTTTAAAAGGAGACCATAAATTGATGATGCCTAATGACTTCTTCAGTTCTTGACAATGTTATGTCTCTTTTAAGGTCTTATTGATGGACATACACATCCAGTGTGGGTTGGAGACAGAGTTCATGAATTTGCAATGAAGGTAGGTATTCTCAGGTTTATGACCCTTCAAAAAAGAAGTGCAGGGTAATAAGAAAAATCAAGAAACTCTGGTACTCTCAGCAAAATGAATAAGAAATAATTTATGTTGAACAATTCCAAAACTCAGAAATTTTGTAAAATCCATCAACATCAGAACAGAAGCAAATCTCTTGAATGAAATTTCACAAGCATTTGAAACAATATAATCATGGATGAGACTTACTGATACTTTTGCGAAAAACCTTCCCCATCAAGATACTGTTTGAAAATTTCCTAGTGTAAAAACTGACTTTAGGAATCCAATGTTAAAATTAATGACATCAGGAACCCAAAGCATTAAGAAACTGGGTTACTCAATGTAAACCTTTCCTTTCTAAAAAAAACTTTGATAAATAACCTACACATTGGGATAAAAGGTTTCTTTGCTTTTCTCGTGGATTAGCCAAGGTGGCCCAGCTTGGTTAAAACATAATTGCTGTTTTGCCACAAGTCTAGCAATAACACTTTCTTATACCAGAATATGATATATTTGCTATGCACTTTTCAAGTTAGACACATTGGTTCTGCAAGCTCTCTTTTTGTGTTTTTGTTCAAATGCCTCTCTGGAGCCAGCGCCATCCTTGCTTTGCTAACCAAAAGCAAAGCAAAGCAAAAAAAGCCAATTGTTCAAAGAGTGACACTTTATTCTTCAACTAAACAACTCCTTTGTCTTTGTACACATTAGCTAGCTGGTGCAAGTTACATGGACATTCATAAAGCTGGTGGTGGTATTCATTTTACAGTTCAGCATGTGAGAGATGCAACTGAAGATGAGCTTTATGTGAGCCTTTTAGAAAGACTGAAGAGGATGGTCAAGTGTGGTACCACTCTTGTTGAAGCTAAAAGTGGTTATGGGCTTGACGTAGATTCTGAAGTGAAAATGCTCAAAGCACTTGAAAGAGCAAAAAAGGAATTTATGAGTATTGAGATTTCAAGCACCTTTTGTGGTGCACATGCTGTCCCAAGGTTAGATATGTGGATTTAGCCACACAGAATAATATGTTTGTGTTTTGAATTGGCTATTTTCATAATTTGTTTAGACATCAACTGTCCAAGCCATAATAGCTGCAATAGTTAATCTGTATCAGTATTCTCATCCCACACAATCTTACGTTAAGAAATCTGTGCTGTCTGTCATTTCCTAGTCCTTCTTTTGTTAACTGGGATCACTCTTCTTTGGGGTATGCTTCTCCTTTGACTGTGGAAAATACTAGTAAGTATTTACTGGTCAACAGAAGGGATACTGTCAGGGTGCTTTTTCTAGGAAATATGAAAATCCTCAGGTTTTTAATGTTACGCACATACATGTTTCCTGTTTCATAAAAGATTCAGGTAGTCATTATTTGCATTCTTCTGATTATCTACAATCATTAATGTTTCCTAATTTGGGTTTTTTCACTTTTTAGGGGGAAAACAATGGAAGAGGCAACTGATGATGTGATTAATGTTCAAATACCCAAGATTAAAGAGTTGAATCAAAAGAAGGAATTAAGTGTTGAAAATATTGATGTATTTTGTGAAAAGGGAGTTTTTGATACTGATTCGACACGCAAGATCTTACAAGCAGGCATAGAGGCTGGCCTAGCTATAAATTTCCATGGTGATGAATTGCACCCAATGCAGTCAGGAGAGGTATAAATTTATAAAGCTCTTTAAAGAGAGGAATCGTGTTTTCCTTATGATCCATTCTGTCTTTTGCTAATGCGATATTTGTCTATTTTACAAATATATCAATCTGAGTCACATAAATTTTGATCAGGTCATCCCCACAGGCATACCCCTCTGACACTTTTGACTTGTCATGCCTACACACAAAGTAAGAGAAATAGTTAATATATTGTATTATGACTCATTGCAGACATTTCCTTGATTTCAAGTGACCAATCAATTGCAGCTTATCACATCCTAAGGAAGTTTATGATTATTTGGCACAAAAGTAATCCTCCTTACAGTAGTTGCAAGAAATCATGGCCCATGCAGTAGGTTATTTTAAAAAAGGATGTTTTCAGGTAATAGGCTTTGCCTTGTAATAAATTTCTAATGCTGCAGCACCAATACCCCCAACAAGCTGGGCCACGCAGATGTGGGCATTTTTGACCATTTATAATCTTCCTAACAAAATGGGACTCATTTTCTGAAAAAGGACCAACTTTTAGATTTTTTGACAATGTGCAACACCATGCATTCGATTATTTACAAAATATACGAATTAAAATAACAATTTTTAATAGTTTTAAATGCAAATTTACAATTAAATAATTTAGTTTTGCATATGTTGCATGTGCAGGCTGTCCGTCCCATTTTTTTATTAATTTTCTGCAGATTTTATTTCCTGTGGTAAGCCATTCTAAGTGGTCCGAGGGACCTGAGGCTGTTTGAACCAAAAATTGTTTGTTGGGGCCTGTAGTGCTGCAAGTCTTATGGACTGTGTGACGATCGATCAGAGGTTCTTAGTTCGAAAATATTTTGCATGTTTTAAGGATTTGACCTTTTTACAGTTCAAGTTTTGAAAATTTCAATGCAGAGGTTCCTTTGCCCACCTACATGCATTGTGCATTTTTGTGATTTGCAAAGCAGTTGCGTAGGGCTTGTTCCTGTATTTTTCGATCTTCTCCATAGACCTAGTTGAGGAGGAAAACCCCACACTAAAGGGCAGTAGTTAAAGTTAGAGAAGACAAAGCTTTGGACCAAATAGTGTTTTGCTATCATTAAATAGGCACAGTCTTGCATAAAGGTCTCTTAAATCTTATGCTGTGTCTTTTTTCTTTACTTTTCATGTTCAGATCAAACTTATTATCTGATTTGATGATTGAAAGGTTGTTTTGTCATGTTGTACTTTTGCCTGTTTATCTTGACAATATTTTTTTGTTCTCCGTTAACACTCTCCCTAATACCTGCTGTCCAAATAACCAATTTTCACCTATTCTAACAACTATTCTAACTAGCCTTTTCTTTTTTCAGCTCGGTGCAGAACTTAATGCTAGAGCTATCAGCCATCTTGAAGAAATCAGTGATGATGGAATCAAAGCCATGAGTGAAAAATCAGTTGTTGCTGTTGTGCTTCCAACCACTGCATACATTTTGAGATTAAAACCTCCACCTGTTCGCAAAATGATTGAGGCAGGTAAGCAGACTCTTTTTATTAGGCAATTGCATCTAGTAACTATTCTAGTTGGAAGTTGCCATTCCTGAAATAGTCATTAGAAGAAGCAATCCCCACTCTACCCTTGAGGATGCAGATTGCCTTGTGTTTGCTACCCTAATTTTCACGAGATTTCAAGTTGCAAATGCCATATCTTCCTGACATCATAAGTTTTTTTTTCACCCCGTATTGAGCTGTGCATGTTAGTACATGAATAAACAATTTGACTGAGCCTTGTTATTTTCCTCTAGGTGTAGCAGTTGCACTTGGCTCAGATTTTAATCCTAATGCTTTTTGCTTGTCAATGGTGAGTCTGCCCGATATTTGTTCAGAAACCCGATAGATATTTCAAAAAGATTTCTTTGTGTGTGTCAGAGCGAGCAATATGTCTTCCACGTATTAATTTTTTATGGAGATTCTTTTATGGGTTTAGAACTCATTAAACAAGGTATTGATAATCGAAGGAGGTAGTGATATGCCTATTTTGAATGGTATGCTAATTCTTTTTCAAAAGCTTTTCCTAACAATCTTTAGTAATATTTTGTCTTGAGAAGTTCCACGAATCTGGCAGCTTTATGCATGTTTAGCTTGAATAAACCAATCATTATTTGCCTCCCCGGAAGATTTATCAAACATGTATTTTTGGTTATATTTGACAGCGAGTTCTAAAAATTCTTCAGACTTTGACCAAGCAACTAAAGCTTATTCATAGGCAACATATGCTCTTGCTTAATTTCTTCTTGATAAAACACATGCATCATTGATGTTTTTGCGAGAATCTTTATTCACGTTTACCGAAAATGCAAATGAGATTGTAAAAAACTGCAGCATTTCAAGCTCTATCGTGCAATGCTTCTTGACTTTCGAACATAACAGTAGGTGTCCATTACGTTAAGCAGGGTTTATGCCTTAAATCACACACCAAGATAGATATCTAGTATTATGTCATGGTTGCAATAAACACGAGCTCTAGTTCTCAAGTATTTCTGAATTTCTAGTGCATTGAAGCTTAACGTTGTTTCGCTCCTATAGTTCTTTAAAAGGGGCTGTTCTTAAATTTTCCTAGAATTTGCTCCTTCGGAAACCTCAGCTTATAAAAGGATAGTACATTAATATATATTTTTAGTTTTTTATACTAAAATTTGTTTGTATTTCTCTACTTGCAATCCAATCCTTAGAATCTTATTTGTTATTTCATTCGTCATCATTAAGAATTTGTTGTTGTTCTTCCTCCCAAGCCACTAACAATGCATTTAGCATGTATTGTCCTCCATATGTCCATGAACGAGGCTCTTTCTGCTGCTACAATCAATGCTGCGGCCTCTCTTGGACGATCAAAGACCCACGGTTCAATCGAAGTTGGGAAAGTGGCTGATCTTCTAGTTGTCAATGCACCCAGGTAAATTAGTAAACACCTTTAGTTCATACAAGTTTATATTTCCTTTTATGGTTTGAACGAATACATGATCTACATCACCTTGCAAAGAAAACATGAATTAAACATATCTTTTGGGGGTTCAAAAGTTAAAAAATGGCTTTGAAAAAGCAAACATTTTGACTCATACTTAAGCTTTTCGTCTGGCACTCTTCAAAGCATCAATCGTCAGAACATAGATCAAAACACTGAGCTAGGAGATATGCACTATGCTATAAGCTAGGTAATATATAGCAAGCTATAAGCTAGAAAATATAAACCAGGAAACATTAGGCCAGGAAAACATTGGAAAATATTGTACTCAATAGTTTCGTTGTGAACATAATTAGGTGATTGATGTAATTTCAACAATCGATTTTTTGCTGTTATAAGTCAAATGAAAATCTAATCAAAACTGAGACACCGTTAATATACGTTTCAAAGCTGAAGTTTTGGAAAATTAAATACTTTTCTTTTCCTTTTAAGTACTCTCTTGTTTTGTTCGTTTCGTTTTGGTACTGTTTTGTTTGTGTTTGTAGGTGGCAGCACCTGATCTACCAAATGGCAAGTCATAACGAGCTTATTAGCTACGTCATCAAAAGTGGCAGGATCGTCCACAGTATCTCGTGAAGACGTGTAAATGTTTTCGTAGTTTTAGATGAATTGCATTATTGAAACTTGTTAGCGATC